AAAAAAAGCTTTTAAATGGAACTAACTTGTTGATTTATTGTCCAAAGTCAGCTGAAAGCGACAATAATCACATGATAACTTGTATTTATTTGTGATGAACATATGTGATAGTCATCTATAAAGTGAAAACATAAAGGTGCTCACAGTGAGCGCATCGAAGGAGATGTTCTTTGTCGCAACTGTTTGTACTGCAACATCCTATGAGATCAGGAGTGAAGCAGAACTGAGCAGGAGTAAAATTGGCCTGGACGCATAAAATGCTTTTATATATGGATTTTCATGACCACTAGATAGTCAAAGTGTTTTTTAAAGTGTTTTTACAAGAATTATCAAGCAAATACACATTAATAAAAAACACAAAATGTCCAAAGTGTTCAAAAAGGATGTGAACTTGTCATCGCACATTTGTAAACCAAGATACAAACCACTACGCCAATCTAAGTTACAAGTACGATCTATTGCAGGTGGCCCCATGGAAACAAGTGCCCATGTCTTTTTTTAAAAAACCGCTTCACAATTATGGAAAACAGATCTGAGTTGCCTATGCCCAACTTGTTTTTATGGTATATATCTTGTTTTGAATGGCCACTTCGAGAAAAAAGCATAAGTCCAGTGGAGGATCAATTCTCGCTGCACTCGTCGCACCCAAACGCGCGCGGCTTAGATGAATGCGATGCGCACGCTGGAATAACATTGCGCTCTGATGGACTTATACAAGGTTGCCTAGGCCCGACAGAGCTTTCATGCAATAGGATAGTAAGATTTCAAAATAATTTAGAGAATGCCACTGAAACACTGCTGCAGATGGAACAGGTCGATGTGGTGTTTCCGTAAACGTACTGCAGAACATTGGCCCTGTTTATTTGCTGTTTATAAAGAGAAGATCCTTTTTAATTTTTAGGCAAAAAGCGCCGCAAAAATGGACAGAAGTAGTGTTTCTTAACGGGAGTCTGTTTCGCACCTTGCCACTCAGATGCTGCAATGCTTTGTTATATCGCGAACAGAAGATTCGAAAACCTTTTTTGCTACAGATTTATATAGGAATTTCCTATAGAATAAAGGAAATTGTTACTGGACTTCCGGTCCAATCCAATTCGTTTTCACAAGTCCAAGCGAAGATAACTAAAGTCTTAAGCGATAGATGCTATGCGGTCACCTTTTAATTGTTTCACCACATCAGAAGCAGACCGGCGATTATTCAGTGCTTCCTCCAAAGACATCCCTCGACGATTGTCCAAGCCAAGAAATTTCTCGCAAAAGTTGGCTACAGACATCTGACCGAAGAATGGAGACTTCTTAGCTACAAGAAAAAACTAATAATCATTTTAAGCATAAATTTGGTTGTCAAACGTTTGTATAGCTTTTCCTGATATGCAGAAAATTGATGTTGGGGCATGCTGATTTACAATGAAATGTGAAGGAGAAAATTGCTATGATGTGTAAGGTTTTCCTGAGCTAATTCAATGCAAGATTTTGACGGTCAGGTCATGAGAAATTGTATATAAGTGCTTCTAACGCTATCTTACTTTTAATCGCAGCTTAAAACAACAGAAGTGAGATTTGGGCTTCAAACGGCTATGATGCTACATCCAAAAAGATACGGCTTTTTGACATTTTAAAGCATAACAAGATTCACTCTGTCTTACCTTTCAAAACTTTCGAAGGCAGATACTTGTGATGGTTTTGAATTGAGTCTTGAGAGGTTTTCTGCTAACGT